GAGAGAGAGAGAGAGAGAGAGAGATCACCTTCAACAGCTCTATATAAGGTGTGTGTGTGTGTGTGTGTGTGTGTGTGTGTGTGTGTGTGCCGCATGCATGCAGGTCCTCTAGGAGGCCAGCAGAGGGCGTCAGGTCCCCTGAACCTGGAGTTACAGGTGGTTGTGAGCTGTATGACCTGGATACTGGAAAGTGAACTTGGGTCCTCAACAGGAGCAGGAATCTGCCATCTCTCCAGCCCCAGTCCGCTCCATCTCTATGCATAGCACTGTGTGCTGTAACCCAGAGATGCATTCTCCCTCAAAAGTGAAGTAAAAATGCTGACCCGTAATATTTGCTACTGGGTTTATGAGTCCTTGGCACCCGGCTGCATGTCCCTGATTTTATTAGGCACATTCCAAGCTGAGAAGCCAGCAACAGAACGGTTCATTTATTTGACAGACCAGTGTTTACTGAGAAGTTACCTTTGGCCAGGCTGCGGGTGCTGTGCTGAGCATACCTGAGTGTTCAGAAGGGACAAACTATGCATTTAGGAGCCCAGTCCCGTGGTTGAGGCAGGCTTGCTCTGTCTGTTTACAGTGGGGGGGAGGGAGGGAGGAGACTAGAATGTTTGCTGCAGAGAGGAGGCCATGGTGTGGTGTGAATAGAATATACTGGTTGGGCTCAGTGAGCCTGGAACACATTTTGCTGCCGTTTAGGGGGTGGTGCTGGCTTCGCTGCAGTTACTCTGGAGGAGTGAGAGCTTGGGACATTATTCTCATTCAATCCCCTCAGCTCTAGGCATCACAGACATCTCCTCCTCACCAATGCTTACCCTGTTCTTTCTCAGGTCTAACTATGAGCCAAGCTTCTTGAATCTTTTACCATTTGGTCCAAAGTCCAAGGACCATCCTGGAAACACGCAGCCTATTGTATCCACACCATGATTATAGCCAAAGGTGCTGTGCTGGTCCAGTCTATGTTGCTATAACAAAATACCTGAGGCTGGATGCTTACAGAGGAAAGAGGTTTTGCTGCTGTCTTTTGAGGAAAACAACGGGGCTGTTGAGATGGCTCCAGAGGTTAAGAACAATGGCTGCTCTTCCAGAGGTCCTGAGTTCATTTCTGGTCCGAGACTCGCAGACTCCGGCCAGGTTCTCGGCACAGGGCAGAGAACGCAGAGAACGGCTTTTGGCGAGTGAGGGAGACACAGAGGCCTACAGGCCTCTGAGGCTTCCCCAGCCTCAGCTGCAGCAAGCCCAGAGTTATGCATCCCTCCCCACCACAGTCTGTTACTGGTGGCCTATGTGACCTTCCCAGCAGGCACCTGGTGAACCCCGCCCTCAAATGCAGCCTGGGTGGGGGAGAGCCGCCCCTGGCTGAGGCCCAAAGAAAACTATTCACAAGCAGCTCCGGGAGGCCCCGGGAGAGGGGCCACTGAGTGGGGCGGGATTAAGTCCTTTCCAGGGCCCCTGGGCCTCTGAAGCTGCTGAGAGCCGGTTTTCAAAGCTGGCAGGATCATATGGGTAAAGGGGTGTCTGTAGACTGGATGAAACTCAAGGTTTTGCCTGAGTGCATTCTGCCAGGTGACAGGGGCAGGCCAGCATAATGCCTGAATCCTTACAGAAACTGTAAGCAAGGCCCCAATTAAATGCTTTCTTCTTTAAGTTGCTTTGGCCATGGTGCTTTGTCTCATCAGTAGAAAGGTAACTTAGCAGGGTGGGGATCAGAGAGGGGATGGTGCCCATGGCAACAATAGTTCTGAGTGATACAAGAAAGAGTAACGAGTAAGGGAGTCTCGGAAAAGCCTGGAAATGAATCTATGAACCCCAAAGGAAGCAGCCAGCCTCACCTGCAAATTCCAGCCTGGAAACCCCCAGAATTGTCAGTAACTATGTGTCGCTTTAAGCCAATAAGCTTGTGGTCATTTGTTACAGCAATGGGCACAGGACCAGCAGAGATTTGAACCAGAGAGTTTCCCCCTAAGTTCAGTTTCTCAACCTGTAAGTTGGGAGGTGATGGGGGAGGTCCTTCTGTGTATATGTTTGTCTTATTAGTTGATAAAGCACTGTTGGCCAATAGGGAAGCAAGATTGGCGGGACTAAGAGAGAAGGAGGATTCTGGGAAATGTAGCAAAGAGAGGGAGTCACCACGTGATCCCGGGAAGATAGGACGCATAAGGCCGGCGTCCTTGGTAAGATAAGTCCTTATAAAAATATAGAGATTAGGGCTGGAGAGATGGCTCAGTGGTTAAGAGCACCGACTGCTCTTCCTGAGTTCAATTCCCAGCAACCACATGGTGGCTCACAACCATCTGTAATGAGATCTGGTGCCCTCTTCTGGTGTGCAGATAGACATGGAAGCAGAATGTTGTATACATAATAAATAAATAAAATCTTAAAAAATATCTATAGATTAGTAGTTATGGTTGATAATTAAGACTGAGCTAGCAATAAGAAATCCTAGTCATTGGCCAGCAGCACTGTAACTAATATAAGACTCTGTGTGTTGTTTGGA